CTATTCACTCTAGATCAGAGATTCTCATCTTGGCTGTACTATGGAATCACCTGGGAACTTTTAAAATAGTCTAGATTTGTAACTCTCACACCCAGAAGTTATGATTCAGTTGGTCTGGGGTATGGCCAAGGCATCAGAATTTTTAAAAGCATCACAAATGATTGTGGTATGCAGCCAGGAGTTGAAAGGCACTGCTCTAGAGTCTTGTTATTCAAAGCGTGGTCTAGGACCAGCAGCATCAGTATCCCTTTGGTGCTTGTTAGAAATGCCTGAAATCAGAATCTGCATCTTAATCCCCAAGTGATTTGTATGTACATTAAAGCTTGAGAAGTATTGGTCCAGGTCCATTGTTCTCAGCCAGGAGTGATTTTGCCCCTATGGAGACATTTGGCAGTGTCTGGAGACATTTTATTTTATTTTTTAATTTTTAATTTTTTTTTTTTGAGACAGTGTCTCGCTCTGTTGCCCCAGCTAGAGTGCCGTGGCCATCAGCCTAGCTCACAGCAACCTCAAAGTCCTGGGCTCAAACGATCCTTCTGCCTCATGCCTCAGCCTCCTGAGCAGCTGGGACTACAGGCATGCGCTACCATGCCTGGCTAATTTTTTCTATATATTTTTAGTTGTTCAGCCAATTTCTTTCTATTTTTAGGAGAGACAGGGCCTCGCTCTTGTTCAGGCTGGTCTTGAACTCCTGAGCTCAAACGATCCACCCGCCTCAGCCTCCCAAGGTGCTAGGATTACGCCCAGCCTGGAGACATTTTAAATTGTCACAACTGAGGGGTGTGTGTGAACTACTGGCATCTAGTGGGTAGAGGCCAGGGATGCTGCTAAACATCCTACAATGCACAGAAGAGCCCCTCACAACAAAGAATTATCCAGGTCAGACATCAATAGTGGCAAAGCTGAGAAACCCTGGTCTAGGTACCCTCGGAGAATTCATGTTGCTTCTTTGTGCTTTCCAATTTGAAGAGCCTCAGGAAAACCAAGTTTGAGATTAGCTGGGTCTGTTAACTTTTTTTCAGGCATCTTGGAAGCTTTGCCTTTACTTTTGGGGCTGATTAGGCAGGACAGAGAGAGGTTAGTTCAGTGTGATCCATGCTGGTATGGTGCTGCTGATCTTTGTGTGTACAAAGAGAGGGAGAAACAATATTATTCTCAAACATTCGACTCATACAGAATTCCCACTTTTATGTTGAATACAGAAGAACTCTGAACTGATTTTTACATGCAGTAGTCAGAGTCTCATATATCTCATGATTTTGAGTGATCTAATTGTAGCCTTTTGAGATTCCCAACAGTGGTGCTAGAGCTTCCAGCTTATTGCTTTCCTTACTTTCCCCGTTCTGCCAGCCTTGAGTGGCTCTGGATTGTGGGAACAGCCAGTCATCCGGTAGGGAACTTCACTAAGGGTCACATGTTCATATGAGAACCTGTTCACATCAAGACAGATCCCTTTCCCTGACCCTGGCGATGCAAATAGCCATGTGTGTAAAGATTGAGAGCCTCAGGAGGAGGGTCAGAGGAAGGGTAGTGAGCCACCCTCAATTTCTCTGTTCCTCTGGACTGGTAGCTGCCTCTCCTCAGCCCAGGTGCCTTAGAACTTCTTTAACATTTAACTGGGGATTTTGAAATGGTTTTAGTTTTCTAGAAATGGAAGCTTCTTTCTAATAGGTAAACCTATCACTTTACTTTCAGACATTTGACTTTCAAAAGAGGGAATTGCCTGTAAGATTAGGGAGACATTTGCAGATTGACATCACCTGAAAACTAACTAATATGTTGATTTATCTGTTTCTGAACACAGAACTCCCCTGTGTATTTTATCACAATGAGTAGTATACTGTGGCTATGGCAAAAAGTTATAAAAAGGATGCTTTTTGCCTGGGCAAAAGGAGGGTGATAAAACTCATAGGCGTGTTTAGAAAACTCAGCACTATCCAGGATTTGCTTACAGGGCCATTATTGATAACAAAGTGGCACGAAGACATTATTGATAAGTGGCAACTTGTTTCTTCTTATCCATCATTTCTAATCAGTTTGTGACGTCTCTTTCAAAAAGGTGGCTATCATACATGAGACTATAGATATGGACTGGGAAAAAAAAAACTTTAAATGTAGTTTTTGGAAAGTGGAGAGTGATTACATAGTTTTCATCCAGTTCCCAATACCTTCTCTGTGAAGCTTTTCTTTCCTTTCTTTCCCCCATCCTGTCTGTACTAAAGGCAACATTCCATAATAATTTATCACAGTATTTTATATTTGCTGTTATGCAAATTTAAAATCATATGATTGTGGCCATCTAAAATATTAACTGATAAAATATATTAATAAAGACAAAGTTGGTAGTTGACTTTTTTAAGTCATGTACTTTGTGAGGGGGATACATAACATTAAATATTATTAAGCATTATTAAAATTTAACACTTTAGTAGGGCAGACAGTCTCATAGTCTTATGAGTGCATTATTTAGAAATTTTCAGTTAAGCATGGTGGAGTGATGAGAAAAGCCCACAAAGTAATGAGGAGCTCCATCCTATACACAGACCCTCTAATCAACTGTGTAATATAATTCTTCACTTTTAAATAGAAACAGACAACCAAAGATTGCCAGAAATTTGAGGATAACTTCTAACATGAAAGTTAGAGATCAAAACAAATGGAGTAGGGTGGAGGGAGGAAAGAAGGAAAAATAAAGATACTGAGAAAAAAATAGATAATGTAGGGAATGGAAGAAAATGGTTAAAAACCACTAATTAATATTCTCAGAGATAAGAGAAGCTATTTCATTCTTGAAATAAGAGTAAGATGACTAAAAAGGAACATTCCAAGAGATGACTCTTGAAAATCTAAAACGTGACCACAGAAATTAAAAGCTCAGTAGAAACATTTGAAAATGAAGTTAATGTGAAATCTTTTAAAAGTAGAACCTAAAGACAAAAGATGCAGAAATAGAAGAGAAGGGATAAGAATGGTCTAACCTACAAATAATAGAAGTGATAAGAAGACAAAACAGAGAAGAAAAAGGAGAAGAAAGCATCAAAGAAATAATAAAAGAAGAAATATTCCAGAACTGAAGGATATGAGTTTCTAAGAATGAAGAGGCTTAATCAGGGCTTGGCACAATGGATGAAAGTAGATTCACACCAGGGCTTGTTCTAGTAGAATTTCAGAAAATTGGGGAAGAAGAGAAGATTCAGAAAATATTCCGAGATAAAAACAAAAGGTTGTACACAAAGGCTTGGGAATCAGAATGACTAGATTTTTCAGTAGCTATACTAGAATCAAGAAGACCATAATTCCATAAAAACTGAAAATTATCCACCTGGACTTCTATACTAAGCCAAACCCCAGAATGAAGTGTGAGGAAAGAATGCAATCATTTATCAGCCATGCAGGACCTCAAAAATTTATCTCCCATGCACGGATCCTTAGGAAGTTACTGGAGGATGTGTTTCACCAAAACAAGAGAATAAACCAAGAAAGGAATACTTACGATCTAGGAAACTGGAGATACATTTGTAGGATAGAGGTGACAGGAATTCCTAGACTGACAATTGAGTAGCAGGCTGAGAAAGAAGCCAGTTTAGATAGAGCATAGAATGCAGACATCAGGTGGAATGTCTCCAAGAGAAGGGGGAAGCAGGTTAGCGGATATATGTGAATATGTTGAGAGGACGTAAAGAGTATTGGAGAGTGTGGGGTTGAATTTGTAAGGAGAATAACTGACTCTTATTTTTAACTTCAGGAAAACAAAGTTATATAAAAAAAAAGAAATACAAGAATAGCACCCTGTGTGGTTTAGCTGCAGGGCTGATATTCAGCCAGTTAATAGCTATATTGGTTGTTAAAATATTAGAGTATTTATATGATGGTTGATAAATACCCACTGCCTCCCTGTTGCACTGTTATCTCTCTTGAACACCCTGGGCACCACCTTCTCCCCTCATCTTGCAATTAAAAGGTTAATAATTGGGAAGGCAGGGGTCTCTCAGGACCCTACTGACCTCTTGGCCTCTATTCTGATTGGTTGGGATCAGGGTACCAATTAAGTATTTTGAACATTAGCCCTATTTAATTGTGAATACTATTTATGTAATCATAATAATATAAATATTGATTTAGCTTAAACTTGTGATAAAATTATAGTACAAGGGAGGATCCAGGGAGGAGATTTGTGGGAAAGGGAGGAAGTTGTAGGAGACCTAAATTTTCATTTTTCATAGTAGGAATTTTATAGATAATATCTGAAGCTGAAAAAAATTTAAAGCTATATAAGCATTTAATTTAGAAACATGGAATTATTAAATAATAACAAGAGAAAAAGCTAAAAGTTAAAAGTTATTCCTTCTGAGGAGTTGATATTGTCTATGTGGAATGTGGTACAGGGGATTGTTACTTTTCATTGCATGCCTTGTAAAGCTATTGGCTTTTTAAATTCTGAATGTCTGTTAGGAAAAAAATTAATTTTAAATAAAACATTATTTCAACAAACAACTTTAGTTTTCTAAACAATTTGATCTCCTTTTTCTCTAGTGGCAATATGATCACCTCACAGCTACCTATCTTCTGCTTCTAACCAAGAAGGCTCGGGGAAAACCAGTTCGTTTAAGACTTCCTTCCCTTTTCTGTGGACAAGCCAGTGCTTCCCCATTCACAGACATCAAGGTAAATGCTAGAGCCTTTTGTGTGAACACCTGTTGGTCATGCCATGTGTCTGCACTGTTCATGAGTGGATACACCACTGGGAAAGTAAACTTTGGTGTCAAGGAGCTTGAGGAAAGACATTTTATGATTTAAACATTTTTGATGAGAAAAATGGGAAGTTCTGAACTTGAACTCTAAAATTTTGGATGTTAAGATAGCATTTTACAAACCTCATCCCCTACCATAACTTTTTTTTTTTCATAAAAGCAATTCTTGGTTGTTGTAGAAAAATTTTAAGCCACAGATGAACTGAAAGGAAAATAGAATTTACCTATAAACCTACTAGCTTTAGATGATATATAATAGTTAATATTTACTGTGTCTTTTCAGTCTTTTTTTTAGTGTGCTTGTTTGTATAATTTATGTACATTCAAGTGCTTTTAAAGGATACAGTATTATCGAATTGTAGAGAACAATTTAAAAATTATTGGGAATAAAATCTGTGAATATAGGATATATTGTAATTTATATGACATGAAATGTTTTGGTATTTATATTAAGAGTATGGGTTTTTTTTCGTTTTTGAATTTGTATTCCTTTATGGAGATTGGGAAGTTTCATGTTTATTAGCCTTTGTGTTTCTTCCTGTGTTTTTGTTTTGTTTTTGTTTTGAGCAGTAGCTATAACTCATGAAACTCAAATTCCTTGTAAGAGAGTTAGTTATAACCAAATTATTTTTCTCTATTTTGTTATTTTTGTCTCAGTTTTGTCATGGACTTTTAGAATGGTGAAAAAATGCTGCATATTTGGAAGCACTCTGTCATTCCTAAATGCTTTCATTGCTTTCTGTTTTTTGTGTGATTCTTTGTATCTCCCATGGCTTAAAATTCAGCTATACAAATACTTCGCCAGCCGGGTATAGAACTTTGTAATATAATCCTCCCTCAGATTAATTCAGGTTGCAATTTAAATAATTTTAGCACTTAGGAACTGTACTTTTGTTATCTTCATAGAGAAGTTGGTTTTCTTTATGGAATCCAAGATAACTCAAATGACTGCGTGGATGAGGTTATTATTTTTTTTTTCTATAGGTCTCAAAACTGTAAAAAAAAAAAAAAGTTAAAATGCCATTTCTTTCACAATCTGTTGTTGAATCCTCCCCCTGCCCCCAAATTCCTTTAACACCTCATTTAGATCTCTTTTTGGCATTTGTCAATCATGTGCCACAGGTATAGTGGGATCCTATGTCCCTGCCTTCCTTCTTCCTTCTTAATTGGTCTTTTGACCAAACAAAGGACTAAAAGTGTCAGTGCAAGTGGCTATTGTGTTAGGAAGTTTCTGAAGAAAAACAATCTTATTCCTGGGATGGTTTTCTAGTCTATTCTTGGAAAGTTTTATTAAGCCGGTGAATACCCTATGCCCAGGCAGATCTTTTGTACCTGAGCTCCATGAAGCAGCTCATCACCCATACTGCTCACATTGCCAAGCCCTTTAAACTTTCAGACTCAAGTAACACATTTGAGTCCATGAGGACGCAAAAACTTGACCTCTGCTTCTGATCAAGATAATTTCAGAAAGGTATTAGATACCTCTATACTTAGGATAATCATTTTAGCTAAAATTTAAAATTTGTAACACCGCACTTAAGAGATCTGAGCCATTGGATTTTCTTATGTCTGAATTGGCCTGGTCTCAGTTGAGCTGCTTATATGATTTTTAAAGTAGCCAAGTATAAAATATCTGGGAAGATATTTACTCTTATCTTCCATCTACTACCTAACAAGCATTTACCTAATAATTTAATTATTTGGGCAGTCATATTAATCAATTTTTATTACACATTGAGAGGCATTTTAGTGATAAGAAATAAAAGTTTGGGTTCTTTTCTGATCATTATGCAAATTATTGATACTTAACGCAAGCCACATAGTCTCTTTGTACTGTTTTCCCCCTTGATAGAAACACCCTTTTTCTCTGAGTTGTTTATAAAAAAGTAAGTAATCCTGAACTACCAATCAATAAATGACACTTTCAGTGAAACAGTAGTTCAGTCTGATCCAAGAATCACAAAAGACCACATCACCTGCAACATCATTAGCATTTTCAGGCCCCATGCTAGTGTCTTGGGAAACAAATAAGTATAAAATGGGGTACTTGCTCTCTAACAGTCAAGTTGAGGCATGACATATATATATATAAACAATACTACATCGTAGTGGATGATAGGGGCCAGATAAGTGTCCAGAGGTGTGCTGTGGGGGCTTTAGAGGATGGGAGTCATCACCATGGGAGATCCAAACTGAACAGACAGTCAAGTTTAGAAAAGTGGAAAAGAAGGAGCACAGTATTCAAGGCAAGATAAATGGAATTAGCAAATGCTCAGGCACCTAATTGTGCTTGATCTATTCTGTTGACAGTGGCTAGACTTGCTTGGTTAAAAAGAAGAGTTCAACTAGAGGAAGGGTGATAGAGGGAGAGAAAGTAAGTGAACTGGAAAGGTAGGTAAGAGCTAGATTGTAAAAAACCTGGAAGTGCCATGCCAGAATTTTAGAAATTGTGCAATAGGAAATAGGAATTTTTGAGCAAGACAGAGAGACATGACTATGATTTTGAAAAATTCATCCAGTGGTGTATAGAATCATTCAGTTAGGGGCGATGTGTGTGCTGTTACTCCCTACCGTAGTACCAGTGACAGCCCTCAGTCGTACAACACTGTACTTTCCCCACCAAGTCTAGACTTAGCTTTAAGATTTTTCTTAGCCTGGCACTCCATGCAGCCAGTTGTAATTGATGATGATTGACAATCCTGGAGAATTCTGTCATCCTTGGTTGAGAGGGTGGAAAGATTAGTGGCAGAGACCATATTTTCTGTTTGAATAATCCAGGTATGAGATTTGTCCTTGAACTAGAATAGTGGCAGTGGGACTGGAAAAGAAGGCTGGGGTATGAGAAATTCAAGTAAAATTACCTTGCCAGGTTAACAAGATGTTCAGAGAAAAGGAAGGAGGGAGAAATAAAAAATCCAAATATACCCCCACAGTCTTGAATTCAGGATATATCTAGTATACCCTTAGTTAATAGAGGGGGAACACTGAGAGAAAATAAATTATTCGTGGTAGTGTTAACATACATATGTCCCAAATGTCCTACCCCTGGGAGATCTTTGGTAACGCTAATTATTTCTGGTAGAAACTACTCTGTATTTCTTACAAATGAGAAACCTGTATTTCAAAGTTAATTTCCCTTCCATCTTCTACTTTGTCAAATCTTTTTATTTGTAAATTTGCAAAGGACTTGTATTATAGTGATTATGTGATGATAAGCTAGGTAGCATGCCATATAACACAAGAATGTTCCAAGGTATATTATTTGAGAATCAGAGCTTTTCCTATCATAATTTGACCTAAAATTTTCTAACTTCCTGTTTCATGTACTGGATAGTGAGCTTCTTCAATATACTGTCTCTCATTTGTTTCTGCTTTCAGGGTCTTGCCCTGTGCCTGAAATATACTAAAGTTGTGTGCCACATAATGACATTTTGATTAATGTTGGACTGCATATACAATGGTAGCCCCGTAAGATTATAATATTATATTTTTAGTGTACCTTTTCTATGTTTAGATACACAAATATTTACCATTGTGTTACAATTGCCTACAGTATTCAGTACAGTAACATGCTGTACAGGTACGTAGACTAGGAGCAGTAGGCTGTGCCATATAGCCTAAAATGTAGTAGGCTATACTATCTAGGTTTGTGTTAAGCATGCTCTGATGTTTGCACAATGACAAAAATCGCCTAGCAACGCATTTCTCAGGATGTATCTTTGTCATTGAGTGACACATGACTGTATTCTAAGAACTGAATCACAGTGCTATTGTTTTTTCATCAAATAGTCAAAGAATCTGAGTCTGGAAGATGTGACCACAGGTGATGAAAGGAATGTGGCTGGATTAATAGACTATGAATGGTGTGAAGATAATTTATCAACAGGTGTGGCTACTCCCCAAACATCACAGGTTGGTAATTTTTATTACTATTTAAAGCAAATATATTGTCTCAATTATAAAAACAACTAGACTAACATGAAACCAAGTGTGTGCTTGCAAATTTAATGAATCCCTAAACCATTGAAAACATTAATGAGATATTATTGGAATATGACTGAAAAGGAAGTCAGTTATTTCCAAGTTGAAGAAAGCTGATTCCATTTTGGATTACTGCTCCTTTTTTTCCTTTTCCTTTTTTTTAAAATGAGGTATGATTTACATGTAGTTAAATAATTAATTTCACCCTTTTTAGTATGCAGTTCTGTGTGTTTCGACAAATGCATACAGTTGTGTAACCACCACCAGCATTAAGATGTAGAGCAGTTCCATTGCTTCTCAGAATTTTCTCATGCCCCTTTGTGGTCCACCCCCAACTCTGAGTGATGCCACTCTCCAACTCTGAGTGTCAATTAATCTATTTTTCTTTCCTTTTGATATAATCTTTTCATCCCACTTGAAGTTTGTCGAGCTTCTTAGATGTGTAAATGAATGTTTATTATCAAATCTGGGAAGTTTTTGGGCATTATTTTTTTCAAATCTTTTTTTTGCCCCATTCTATGTCTTCTGTCTTCTGGGGCTTATGTGTATATTGGCAGACTTGATAGTGCCCTACAGTTCTCTGAGACTCTGTTCATTTTTCTTTATTCTTTTTTTCTTTCTGTTCTTCAGACTAGAAATTTAAATGAACTTTTCCCCAAGTTTCCAATTCTTTGTTCTGCCTACTGAAAATGATATTGAACCCCTCTAGTGAATTTTTTGTTATTTTTATTGTACTTTTCAACTCCAGAATTTCTGTCTGGTTCTTTTTAATAATTTTATCTCTTTATTGATACTCTCTGTTGTGACATTGTTCTTACACTTTCCTTTAGTTCTTTACATAATGGTTTCCTTTTGTTCTTTGAACATATTTAAGTCTTTGCCTGGTAAGTCCAATGTCTGGGCTTCTTCAGGGACGCTTTCTATTGACTGCTTTTCTTCCCTGTACATGGGCCATATTTTCCTGAGTAAATGCATAGTCTTTGGCGTGAGTGCAGTCCTATACATGTATTAATACATGGCCTTCTAGATTCCCAGGTATATTTCAGAGCTCTTTGAAGACACTATGGACATCTTATTTTTCAGCTTTCCTTTAAGCCTTTTGGTTAGTCTACTGCAGCAGTCCCGAACCTTTTTGGCACCAGGGACCATTTTCATGGAAGACAATTTTTCCACGGACTGGGGAGTGGAGGGATTGTTTCGGTGTGATTCAAGTGTATTACATTGTGCACTTTATTTCTATTATTATTACATTGTAATATATAATGAAATAATTATACAACTCACTATGATGCAGAATCAGCGGGAGTGCTGAGCTAGTTTTTCTGCAACTAGGCAGTCCCCTCTGGGGTGATAGGAGACAGTCACTGATCTGACAGGAGGCGGAGCTCAGTGATACAAGCAGTGGGGAGTGGCTGTAAATATAGATGCAGCTTTGCTTGCTCGTGGCCTGCCACTCACCTCCTGGTGTGTGGCCCAGTTCCTGACAGGTCACAGAACGGTACTGGTCCATGGCCTTGGGGTTGGGGACAGCAGCTTTAGAGCACTTAATCTCTGATTACCATTCCTAGATTATTACATGCTAGTGATGTGTCCAGTATTTTAGCTCTGTAACTTTTTTAGCTTTTTATTTTGAAATATTTATGGAGTCTCAGGAAGTTATTCAAGATACTACTCTGCTCTCTTCTTGCTTCTGTTGTTGCTGTTGAGAAATCAGTGTCAAACTAGTTCCTTTCTAGTTAGTCTGTCTTTTCTCTCTGGCTCCTTTTAGGGTCTTCTCTTTATTTTTGGCATTGTGGGGTTTCTCCATTAGGGCTGCTATATTGTACAGCTCCAGGGAACACATACCATCCCTGTACTATCTGTGTAGATAGTGTCCTCTAGAGTTGTATAACCTGGGAATTATAAATGTGGATTTCTTTTTATTTATCCTGTTTATGATTCATTGTGCTTCCTATATATGAGGATTTGTATCTTTAATCAATTTTGGAAAATTACTTGAATAATTGCTTCTTTAGCACTGTCCATATTATCTATCTCTGGAACTTAAAACAGATGTATGTTAGACTATCTCACTTCATTTTCCACTTACCTCAAATCATCTGTCTATATCCCATATCCTTTTCTACTTGGGCTGCATTCTGGATAATGTTTTCAAATTTTCCTATTTAGAAATTCTCTTTTTATTTCTATCTAATCTGTTATTTGATATGTCTGTAGAGTTTTTCACTTTTATCATTATATTTTTTTATTTCTAGAGGTTTTTCTTCTTTTTCAAATCTATTTGAACATTTTTAGTCTCTTTTTCTTTTCTCATGTTTTTAATTTCTTTCATTATTTTAAACATGGGAACATATTTATGTTCTATATTTGATAGTTTTAATATCTGACATCTTAATGGTCTGATTGTACTGGTTTTCTTTTTGTGTGCTGACTTTTGCTCATAGTGCTTGCATCTTTTGGAATTTTTGTTATAGGTTCATTTTTCTTTGAACTCTGTGGGAATTCTTTGAGGCTTGGGTTAAGGGTTGAGGGCTTGGGTTGGGTTGGATTTAAGCTTATTTTTCAGCTAGGAACCATGTTTGCTTCTACTAGTTTCCTGGGGCACAACCAATTTAGGATGACTTTAAATTAAATTTAGGCTTGAGGTTTGTGGGACCATGCAGGTAGTACTAATTTGGACCTTATACCTATGTGAAGACTGTCCTTTGGTTACTTACAAATTATTAAAAGAGACTTTTTTTCCTCCCCCAGATCCAAGGCCAAGATTTTTATGCTGATTCCCTTTGAAGGGCAGATTTATATTTAATTCACCTTTCCATTTTAATTATAGCATCTCCCGGCTTCACATGGGAGCTTTGGATCTAACTTATTACCTTGTATAGGCCTAAGGCTTCTGTGACTGTTAAAACTCTTGCTGCAGGTTATCAGAGATAGTAGGTAGATGCCCTTAGGGCAGCAGAAAGTTTCAACCTTGGTTACATCTTTGGATTCATGCTCATGTTTTTAGTTTGACCTCTGAGGATTTTGCTTACTCTTTTGCAAGCTCAACCATAAATTTGAAAGAATTAAAATTTCCTTTTATTCAACATTTCTGTTAGAATATTTTAACATGTTTTTTCTGCTCTAATCACAGACTAAATTTTTTTATTTGGTACATATCATAGGCAACCCATGGCAATCTAGGTATGGGAAGCATTTCTTAGGGATTTATTTGAGGCCTGGGATCTGGGTATGTTTAAACACTTGGCCTGAAGAAACATGTTGAAAATTACCTGTCAATAAAACAGGCTAAAGTGATCTACATACACTAAAGAGAACTGAATATACATTTTCAAATTTCCTGGTATTGCTAGTAATGTCTTTTTGATAGTATTCTATTTTAATAAAAATAGTGCAAGGTAATTTGCAAATTATTAAGGCATGTTATAAAAGAAATTGACTTTTCTTCCTCTTCAGTGTGCTTTATCCAGTAACTTTTTTTTTTTCCAGTTTACCAGGCATTGGACAAAATCAAATGGGCTGGAATCTAAATCATTAACTCCAGTATTATGCAAAGCATCTGCAAATAAATTAAAGAACAAAGAGAATGTATATACTCCTAAGTCTGCTGTAAAGAATGAAGAGTACTTTGTAATTCCTGAGCCAAAGACTCCAGCTAATAAGAACCAGCATAAGAGAGAAATACTTACCACACCAAATCGTTATACTACACCCTCAAAAGGTATTTGCGTGATGGTACATGCCTGTAGTCCCAGCTATTAGGGAGGCTGAGGCAGGAAGATCACTTGGGTCCAGGAGCTTGAGGTTGCAGTGAGCTATGTTGATGACACTGTACTCTAGCCAGGGTGACAGAGTGAGAACTTGTCTCAAAAAAAAAAGTAGAGAGAATAAAGATGAATAGTCATAAATAAAACCAAACCCCCGATCTCCTTTTAAAAACTTGATATCTTATCTTTGTTATTCTTTTTTTTTTTTTTTTTTTTTTTT